AAGAGATGTTATCTATGTATTATTTTTCGAAGTTGAATTGAATTACCGTATCAATGTGTAGTATGGCATTTGCTCAAAAGATGGTGTTAATCAAATGAATGCTAGCATCATTTATTGCATTACAATTTTAATACATTTTTTTCCTTTCTTAAAATGTGTATATATATATATATTTTTTTTGGCACCCTCTGCATTCTTCAGTTTTAAAACCAGTTTTCATTATGTGGACTACCTAATGAGAAACAAATGTCATATTAAAGTTCATTTAAAAAATTTTTATTAAAAGAAAAAATAGGAATTTAATATTAAGATTTCTAGTAAAAATAATGCAGTAAATTTCGATTGTCATACACACCTTGCTCCTATGACACAGCAAAAGGAAAACCAGAAGTATGTTGCTAGGTTAAAAAAAAACATGATAGCTGACTCTGAATCAGAAACAAAACAGAAACTCAAAGTAGGGAAGTGGCTTGGAGTCACAGGGCCTCTGATCTCTACATTTGGAAAAAGGAAGTCCTGAGTTAGGGCCCCGGTAGAGTAAGAAGGATTGAAATGCTTCACACTAGATAGGGCACAGAGATAGGCTCTCTGATTGGAGCAAATATTCTTCCCATTTTTGATAAAAAGCATATATGGAAGCCTGGGGATTCAGGAAACACACATTCAATCTTACTATTAAGGACCAAGCTCAGTTGCCCTCAGGCTCAGGGAATGAATTTGTGATAGCCACTATATCATCCACAATATCAAGAACCCCCAAATAATGTTATGTGCTCTGGTTCTAGACTGGGGGTTCTGGTGAGCTGAAAGTGAGCAATGGCTAAACTGCCTCAAAATAGCAAAGAATAAGCAAGAAATGAGGAGATACAACAATGTAAAATTAACCTAGGGTCTGTGTTTCAAAATACATAAAGAAATCGATGCTAAGAAAAGATAGACGTTAAAACAAAACTCTAACATTTCAGGTTATATTTTATATAGCAATCCAAAACAAAAAATCTACACTATGTTATAATGTTCAAATGATAAATGTTAAAAAGGATCAAGGAATAATGAAGCAAACATTTGCAGAAGTAAAACAAAAACACATAAAATAAACAAATTAAAATGTTTAGAAATAAAAAATATAATTATTCAAATTAATTTAATATTTTAATTGGTTAAACTAGGTGAAATTAATTTAATTAATTAAATTTAAAGTTAACTAATTGATCTCAATTAACAAAATAAAATTTAAAAATAAATCTCTGGATGTAAAAAAAATAATAAAGTTAAATTATTGAAAAACTTCAGTTAAATGTAATAAATTCCACACTGATAACAGTTAAATAGAGTTAGTAAATGAAAGATAATACTGTGCAATTGCCCCATAAGTTGGTACAGTGGGACGGTTAACAAGTATGGAGGTGACAGAAGCTCTAAGAGGTTGGGAGTTCAAGAAAAAGAGAACAGAGGGAATGAAGGATGCTATATTTGAAGAGATGGTTATGAGAATTTCCAAGACCCAAAGAATGGCATGAATTCATAGATTGACAAAGCATTCCACGTACCTTGTAGAGCAATTCAAAAATAAGACCACACAACTAGATATGTGATGGTGAAACGGCAGATTATCAAGGACAAATAATAAAAGAAAAAGCTTAGAAGATACCAAAGGGGGTGGGGGGGGGAGGCATATTATCTACAAAGGAATAACTATTAGACTGACTGAATTTTTTGGTTCCACAATAATTGGTGCAATAGAGCGCTATCTTCAAAGTACTGAGGGGAAATCTGTCCACATAGAATTTCATTCCCAGCTAAACTATATCCAGAATAAAGGTAAAACAAAGAAATTTTCTAGTATACAATGCCTAGGGGAATTTAATACCCATATTCTAACTTAACTATTAAATGATGTGTTTCAGCAAGAAGAAAGGTAAATCCAGAAGGAAAGCACTGACATAATAAAAAAAATTACAGTGACAATGTGATATATGACAAAGTTTGCACAACAAATTTGCAGGAGAATATGGAAAAACGACTCAAGAAACAGGCAAAAGAATCAAATAATGTGATAGAAAAGAAAGCTGAATGATCAATAAATATGTCAAAAGACAATCAACCTCCTTCATGAACAGGAAAATAAAGCAGAGACAAAAGTTCACATGCCTCAGAGTAGAAAAAATTAAAAAGGCTGACATAAGCAAGTGTTGGAAAAGAATATGGGGAAAGATGAATTATATACTTTTGATAAATAGGTAAACTGACATAAAGTTAGAACACATTTTGACAATATCTCACACAGTTGAAGATGTACATACCCTACTATCCAGAATTTCCAGTCAAAGGAAACATCTCCCAAAACGGTATTTGCAAAAATGAGTGATTGAGAATAACCAATCTAACAAAAGAATAGCAGATAAATTGTAGTTTTTATAGTTGTAAAATGAACACTAAAATAAAGTTTCTAGAGATATGCTTGCATCAAAATGGACAAATCTCAAAAGCAAAGTTAGGTGATATTAGTGAGCTGCAGAATGTTACATATCTTACCATACACATATTTTAAAGCTTGTGAAGTAACATTCCACATGGATGTTGGATACATACACATATAAAAGTAAAAAAAATACTCGTATATGGGAAGATAAACATCAAATTCAGAATAATAATTTTCCACTGGTCATGGTGGGAAGCAAATGAGAGCTGGGTAAATTATATGGGAGAGTTTCAATTATGTCTGTAAAGCTTAATTTTTTGAAAAACAAAAAGATCTAAGAACAAAAAAGTAATAAACAAAGAAAAATAAAAAAAAAACCAGATTACATTTTCTAACAAGTCCATTTCTCTGTCTAGTCCAGCCTGATATCCTAAGACAAGAAATGGAAGTGTGATGGGGTGGCTGGCAGAGAAAGGAGTAATGAATTAGGTCAAGATTTAACCTTGTTATCACTGGAAAACACATGAGTAATAACAGCTCTGGTTTATGGCACATCATTAATTTCTAAAATAACAATGATGAGGGGAGTAACTGGAGAGATAGTAAAATATTTTTAGAGAATGCACTTGAGTTCTATTGAAAACAGTAAATCTTGGCTTGAAGATGCTTCAGTAATGCCCGGGCTTGGACTTCAAAATTTACAGCTGACCTGGGTCACTTATATTGAAGCTGAGGGACATATACGAAGCAAACATTTAAGTGGGCATTTAAAAATTCTCTTAGTTTAAAATTTAAGTAGCTTGCAGCAGAAAACAAATCACAAAATAAAATATCCTTGCTCTAATCACTCATGTATCTCTTGAATTTCAAAGTTTGTGGCTTTGACATGCAGGCTTCATGTCTCAGGGCACAATAGATTGAGTGGATGGACCTCTAAGTTCTCTGCTCACTACTCAGAACCCTGGTGAGATGTGAAACTGGACTGCAGCAATGGAAGACTTACTGCTCAGTAGCTGTGTTTTGCTGTTAGCTTTGTTTTTGTTTCTCTTAGATCCAGAGTGAATAGCTGGATTTGGTAGACTGACTGGGTTTGTAATTTGACAGGGTTGAAAGAAAGACCTTCAGTGGTTTAAAACTTCTTTGGGATTAATCAAAGAGAAATACTCAGTCTTTAAGAGGTTGTTTGTTTGTTTGTTTATGTGACACCCAAATGAGTTCACTCCTTTACAGTTGCCTTTAAGTAAGAAGACCAAGGATGGAGGCAAAGATAAAATAGAAACATTTTAACAGAATACAGCACATAGTCTACAGAGATATGACCACAATATATTGTGTAACCTAAAGGCCTTCCTAACTTTTTATAGATGTTGGCTTGTTTCTTAAGAAAATTCTAGGGGAAAAAAATCATAGCTTTAACATGTAGCTTTAATACTTTCTGGATGCCTTCAATCAGAAGCAAAAGCAAAAATAGGTTAAGGTCCTAAGGAATAAAATGAAAGATATTTAGCTACATACTGAGACAAAGTAGGTACTCAATAATTATTTGTGGAATAAATTAAGTCAAATTTTGGTTTCCTATGTTATTGAAACTGAAATTTTAAAAGTATAAATTTAAACTAAGGACACTGCTTTCATTTAGTCTATATATTATGTCCAAGAATCATCTCTATTCTTAAACTTTGAATCAAAGTTAATTTTTTTCTGTATTACTATAGTTGACTCCAAACCAAATTATTTAAAAGATTTTCTTGAATAAAATAAATGTAAGTAAAACTTATCCAATGGTTCCTTTAAAATGGTGGGAGAGCTATCATTTATAAGGATGGGATGTGGGAGAGTTACAGACATGCATCAATCACTGTTTTTGAAAAATGAGGATTTAAAAAGTTTTGTGATAAATTCACAACTCAAACAAAATAGAAGTAAACATTTTTTTAAACTTCTGTAGAAAGATTAGTTTTATAAACACCATAAATTAATTCTCACAACATAGGATAGTTTGTAATCTTACACTCAATATAGAAAAATTGGTACTACATTCACTCAAAGTAATAAATGATCACATAAACATTTATCCTTGGTCAAAGCCAAAATGTATTTTCTGTTACTAGTCTGTTATTAATATCAAATTTTATTGGCTTGGTGAAAAGAAAAATGAACTAGGAATCTGGAGATATAGACTCTGCCACATACTTGTTAAATTACCTTTGACAAGTAATTTAAAGCCTCCGAGTTATCATTATTTTTATCTGTTTTGTTTGTTTTTTCTAGATCTCAGGGTTGTTGCAAAAGGCAAATAAAAAAAGAAATATGAAAGTTCTTTGAAAGGCAAAAAACACCATATAAAATGTACTTTAATTACTGCTAAGGAGAACACTCAACTCATGAGTACTAAGGAATTTAGTGCTCACAAATGATAAAAATACATGTAAAGTTCTGATAGGTGTCATCCTTGGTATTTCCAAGTATGGATAATGACCTTTCTCTCTTGTGCCCCATTTCCCTTTTCTTCATTTACTTTTTCTACAGGACCTCTACCTGTAACCAGTGTTTCAATATATGACTATAAACCTTCTCCTGAAACAGGAGTCCTGTTTGAAATTCATTATCCAGAAAAATATAATGTTTTCACAAGAGTAAACATAAGCTATTGGGAAGGTAAAGACTTCCGGACAATGTTATATAAAGGTAAGAGGCAAAAGGAAGATTGACTAAATGACGACTATTGTTTTTAACATGATTTTTGCCAAATGGTCTTCTCTCTTGCTCTAGAGATCTTATAATTCACTATTTGACCATAAATGAACCATTAGAAATAGTTGCTGCTTCATGAAAATCTTATCAGGACTCTTAGAACATCTGGTTCATTAATTTAGAGTCACTTGCCACGCATAAGTATATGAAATATTCAAATTATTGTCACTTACATGTTATTCTTGCCAAAGGTGCAAGAGATAAATTCAAACTTTTAGAAGCACTTCACCTAGCCATTTCCTTCTCGGTGTGTTAGAAGGGCATTTCCAGAACTGGGAAGCTAGAGGGACGCCTTTTACAAAGTTTTGCTTAGAGATGGTCCAAGATTATTCTCAAATGAAAAAGACAATGCTTTTTGGTTCCTTTGTATACATTTATCTGTGTGACCAGCTAAATGCATTAATATACAAAAATTGATTTCACTGTTTTTACTGGCTTGATGGAGAGAACCTGTGAGGAAAAGAGAGAAAGAAGAGAGCCCAGGGGAATTAATAATTTAAAAAGAACCAAGTAAGTTTCTCTGAGGAGACTGAGATGTAGTGGTGGATGGGGGAGGAGGGGGAAAGGGAGTGAAGGAGAGAGGGCATTCAGCTTCATTGGGGGTGAATTGAAACGGAGGAACGTAAATACTCTGAGGACACAACACCCTAACATTTATGTGCAGGAGGCTTAGCTGATGGTGTCAAAGTTTATTGGTTGTAACTGGAAACATGGATTGGTGAGAAGAAGGCACACTGAAGCACACAGGGCATGGTATCCACAAAAATGTCACTTTGACCTGTTACTTTTATGAATTCCTTTCTTCCATAGATTATTTTTCTTTCCTTTTTTTTGTTACACTGTTTAATACATATGCAGTGAATTTTACAGTTTTTTAACTTTAAAACATTTAAATAAACATAAACATAAAATCCACAAATCATTGCATTTTTATTTCAATGAAAACATTACCTGTAAATTAATAAGTAGGTCCTTATTTGCTTATTGATCACATGTAAATACAAGTTTATGAATGCTTGAAAAGCAATCACTAGAACTTTTGTCGAGTTAAAAGCCACAAGTTTTAAAATAAATGAATTAATGTGCTTTCTTTTTTTAATTAATTTTTAAAATTATTTTTGGCTTTTAATTCACTAAGTGGTACATTTTTTTTAACTTGGATTTGATTTCTAAATGTGTTACTTTCTTTAATGTTTTCCAAATGAAATACAAATCTTTATTTTCTTCTTTTTTTGAGCAGGTTCTGTCTGCCAATTGTCAAACAATCCATTCTACTTTTAAAATAGGCTAGTTTTTACAAGTGAGCATAGTGGAAACATTTCTTGTAAAATTACTTTTTTCTAAGTCATAAAGTAGCAAAATACCTTGGGTTTTTATCTTAAAGTAAATGGCTAACATAAACCTAATATCTACAATTTCTATATATGAACCTTCTCCACTTAATACACCAAATGTTCCTTTAATAAAAATTTAACTTCAGTTGAATCCAATTCTTGTAGAAAAAGCCTTTCAAGATTAGACTCTAAGGATCCAAATTTTCATCTCTAGCCTTATGCCTTTTTTTTTTTTATTACTGTCCATGCCAGGAGTTGAAGGAGTTATTAGTTTATGGATATTTAATCATATAGTTTAGAACTTCCTAGAAGTGTGTGCCATTTAGAAGACCAAAATTTAAATATAATTGATTTTTCTCTTTTCAGACTTCTTTAAAGGAAAAACAGTATTTAATCACTGGCTGCCAGGAATATGTTATAGTAATATCACCTTTCAGCTGGTATCTGAGGCAACTTTTAATAAAAGTACTCTTGTGGAGTATAGTGGTGTCAGTCATGAACCCAAACAGCATAGAACAGGTAAGTCTTCTGAAGAATAACATTTAGTGAAAAAACTAACTAAATTATATGTTGTGTAATATTTTTTATCATTCTAAGAAAAATTCTATTACAGAGCTAAGAAAGAAAATAAATATACATTTTAATAATCCAAACAAATTTTCTATCATTGTAAAAGGAACTGAGGAAAATATTTAGTAAGAAAAATCTAAAATATGTCAATGTAATCATAGATTTATAATTTTTGAATAAAAAGTGCATGACATTACAAAAAGTTAGAACTAAATAACTTAACTGGATAAACACCTACTATTCTAGGTGCCCATATAGCAGAAAAGCAGATGGAAGATGTTCTAGTACAGATTATCAGATTATTAAGGGAAAATATTAGTAATCATATGTAAATAAAACTTGCAGTGCTTAATTTTATTAGCATCACTAATATGAAACATTATTGTAGGATGGGTGATGGATGGATGGATGGATGGATGGATGGATGGATGGATTGATGGATGGATTGATGGATGGATGGAAGAATAGATGTGTAAAATATACACCTACTAAATATCCATTATCAATAACAATATGTGTCCAATATAATTAGACAGTATAATTGTCTGTGTCTAATGTGCCTAAGTACTCAATAGAAATGCTGGAGAGGCCATTCACGTGAATATTGGAAATGGGTTATGTTAGATCACTCCTGAGACCCTTCTGATCTGAAATTCTAATGTGTCATAATTCCCATTAATTAGGCCCAAACAAGGAAACTATGTAATTCACCTCATGTCAACATCTAAGATTCTATTTGTGTTCTTCATTGTTCAGTTCAGGTAAAGAAACATTAATTGGGCATCTTTTACCGGAGAGTTGTTCTAAGTACTGAGAAAGAGGAAGACAGAGACTGGTGAGACAGGGTCCCTGTCCTTAAAAATGGTAGAAGTACTATACAAATGGCAATAATATAAGGTAGAATATGATAAATGCTATAAAAGAGGGTCAAAGTTATATAACAACACAAAGGAGGGAGAGATGAACTTTTATTAGAAGTTCATGGAAGAGGTGATATTTGAGATGCTATTTGAAGGATAGGTGGAAACTGTTATAGGTCGAGACCGTGCAGTGTGGCTTTATAATTTTCTACCTCTAGAAAAGTATGCTTTTATAATTCATAGACTCACTTTGGGCTCATATGTTTTATTTTAGAGGGGTTAGGAGTAAAGCCATATTTCCAACATGTGTGTTAATGTTTCTGAAGACAACTCATTATTGTGACATTCTTAAGTGCAACTATGTCACAAGGAGTATTTTTGTCTTGGTAGCTATAAGTACACTATATGTAGTTGCTTTTTTTATAAGAAAGATCCAGTGTCAGAGACAGTTTTTTAAAAAGGAGATTGTGATAAGCTGAAGATTATTTACATAACTCTTCCTTGAAAATGGTTAAATTATGACTTGAACAAGCATAGTATCACAAGTTAATGTATACGAGGTGTGACTGGTGATATGCTAATGTGTACACATCATGCACAAAACCTTAGAAGTACATTTACTTGAAACCACAATTGCTCTTGGTGTAATTAGAATATAGGTATATAGAAGTCAAACTAAATCTGATTTTGTAAATCTGCTTCTGCATTTGACTCAATACATTAAGTAGTCAATATAATAGAGTTCAAAGTATTGAAATTAGAATAAAATAAATATAAGATAAAATAAAAATTTTCTCTCTTACAGCCCCTTATCCACCTCGAAATATCTCAGTTCGTATCGTAAACTTGAACAAAAACAACTGGGAAGAACAGAGTGGCAGTTTCCCAGAGGAATCGTTCATGAAATCACAAGATACAGTGGGAAAAGACAAACTCTTCCATTTTACGGATGAAACTCCTGAAATTCCCTCTGGCAACATTTCTTCTGGCTGGCCTGATTTTAACAACAGTGACTATGAAACTACATCCCAGCCATATTGGTGGGACAGTGCATCTGCAACTCCTGAAAGTGAAGATGAATTCGTCAGTGTACTTCCCATGGGCTATGAAAATAACAATACACTCAGTGAAACAGAGAAGTCAACACCAGGCTCTTTCTCTTTTTTCCCTGTGCAAATGATACTGAGTTGGTTACCACCAAGGCCGCCCACTGCCTTTGATGGGTTCCATGTCCACATAGAAAGAGAAGGTAAAAGCAATAGCAGCTTGGAGGAAATAAGAAATGATACAATCCAAGGAAAGGAAACTGAAACATTATTAAATTTAAGTTTAGGAGGAAAGATGGATGGGAGACAGTTAATATCTAAAGAAAAATGATAAAGGGAGGAATTTAATTAAGTATCCAATGTGAACTGAGACTAGAAAAGGAAATGAACAGATCAGAACCTGCAGGTTTGGGTCGTTTGTAAGTTGCAAGTACTAGCAACTGTACACATTTCATTGTCCAAACTTTCAGGTATCCCAGACTACTGAGGGAAACCTTATATTTGGAAAACTTTTGAATTAAGGTCTAAGCATCATAAATTATAAAATATTCTGGAGAAATTTTCTGTTTTCATAAACTTGTGAAGCATGCAACCAAAGAACCTGTCTGACAAAATGGCTACTTTCCCAAGAGTATCAAACCTGTGTCCTGCTTATCTAGCGTTTCTTATTTCCCTTAGGGTATGCTCTTCTGGGACCAGCGCCTTCATAGTTTCCCAAAGAGGAGCTGGTGGGAAAACAGAAAGTGCATAGCCACTGGTATTTCCACTATAGCTACTTGTATTATATGTTGTACTCACTTATCCAGTATCTGAGAGTCATTCTTTATATTTTAGCCCACTAATTTATAAAAAGCAAGGCCATGACAGTCAGTAAATTTGGGTCATGAATCATATCTGAACTGTTTTTTGGTAGATTTTTTAGTTATTTGTCATTTGTTTTATTTTTACAATAACACTTCATTTTAAACTTTCCAGTCTAGTAGTTTGGGAGATAAAGTTTGTCAAGGTGTCAAAATTCAAAGTCAAAATTATTTTTGACTTGATTTTCAAGGTAGAACATTAGGATCATGTAGTCTCATATATAACATATTGTTTACTATTTTATTTAGTAGAATGAGATACAAAATCTGTGAATTCCTCTATACTAGGTGATAGACCAGTAAACCATACCCAAATATTATATAAAGTTGAAGTCCTTTGTCATTGCCAATTATTTGAATCAAAAGTCTTTAACATTTGCCTGAAATTATTTGTATTAAAATAACAAGTTTTCTTAATCTGGCTTTTATTTTACTGTTCTTCAATACATTCTGTGGAAAATAGGATCTTGTAAATCAGAATTTTAATACCTATTTCTCTGAAGGTTCAATCATGCTTTTATCTGACTGCAATGTGCTCTGTTGAAGGCTATTATATTCACCAACTGATGACAACCACTTCAAATGAAGTAATAAGCAGCAGGAGATGGACTTTGAAGCAGCATAAAAATTACTTTTACTTTTAACAGTTCTAGGAGCAAACAGATCAAGGAAAAAATATTACACATGTCAGAAAATATATCCAGAGGAATTATTCCTAACTAGAAATAATTCAATATATCTTGTCATTGTTTGGATATTTAGTCATACCACAAAGAACTTATAGGATATTTGTTGCTGGTTAATTTTTATACCTTATATCCAAATGAGAAATTCAACTACTGCTTTTTTGCTCCAAATATTCTACTTCTATTTTGTGCATAATTTTGTTGGGTAACAGTGTGTAAGGATACACAGTATATACTCACTTTCATTTTATTGGTTTAGACACCCTATTTTAGTTTGGTTATTTAAAAGTATTGTGAAAATCTATTTGAACCCTTAGTCATCTTTTACTTATAGTATCTTTAGAGGTGTAATTGAATTTGGTAAAAGGAAGGAGACAATATAAAAAGACACTTTTTTCTATTACTTGATTTTTCTATATTCAAAGCCTTTCCAGTTATCAATTCATACATATTCTCTTTTTTATATGTGATTTAGAAAACTTTACTGAATATTTGACAGTGGATGAAGAAGCACATGAATTTGTTGCAGAACTGAAGGAGCCTGGGAAATATAAGTTATCTGTGACAACCTTTAGTTCCTCAGGATCTTGTGAAACTCGAAAAAGCCAGTCAGCAAAATCACTCAGTTTTTATATCAGTAAGTACCAAAGAGACTATTTTGCACTTACAGGGAGCTAGAACAATGGAACTGGTGAGATTAATGATGCTCAGGTATCAATTATTCATCAAACCTTAGAGACCCTGAGAATTCCTCAAGGCCAGGCGAGTCTCAGATACATGAAATTTTGACAACAGAGGAAATATGTATGTTTAATAGTCACAAACCTATCCAGACATTTAAGTTAAGGACTTTTTAAATTATTATTGTGATAACTGCAGAGTTATGAAGCTGCCCTTTCACACTAGCCCCCAAAACTCTCAAAGAACATGAACACATAGTTTGGGAAATATGATTTTTGCTTGAGGTTTTGGTGAAAATTGATATTGTTGAACTATGTGAAAGCCTCACTAGAGTTTTGAGCTTATAGAGCTCAAAAGACAAAGATTGAAGTGTAGTAAGATGCAGGTAGTAACCATAAAATTGGTGCCAGAAGACAAAGCTAGAGCATCCTAGCAGCCCCAATGTCAAGTCTTAAGGTGGTTATATTGATTCCATAAAGAGTAATAACAGAGCTATAAGTAGCCTCTAAAATCTGCTCAAAAAGTGCATGTCTGTAACATTTTTAGCTAATCTGACTATGGTTGCCAGAAGTTTAGAAGCCAAACATCAGTAGCTTATCAGGAATTAAATGTGTCTCTCATCAGCAGAAAGAAAAAACGGAAGGTAATGGATAAAACTTTCTTGCCGAAAAGGATGACCACTTTGTTCAAAGGCAAAATACCGCCTTTCATCAAAGAGTTCTCAAAAATGTGGGCAGGAGGAGGAGGAGGAGGACAGAGGGAAGAGATCAGTTTACCTAGCAGTTTAAGAATGTTGAAAATGTCCCACATGACAGCTTTACCTAAGAAACCAAACATGTAACCGGTGATAAAAGACCTGAAGGATCCATTAGGCAGGCAGAAAGAATAGTCAGAAATGCCTTGCATGTCTGTCAATTATGGGAGATCTTTGACATGAGATCACTTGAGAATGATCATTTGAGAACAAAGTTTAGTTTTCACTTCTTCCCATGAGGCTAAAAAGGTTTCATCAACCAAAAGATGTCCTTGTCTGCTTGTGGAGATCCACTGCAAGTATTCATGACTTCCAGGGAAACTCCTTCAACTATTCTGGCTGTGCTGGCTCCTCCCTTCTCTAAATCGCTACTGTTTCACAACTCACAACACCAAACACAGAGCTTACGTGTTTGTGGCATTTTTCTAGATTTATAAAATCCTAGCCTGGGGTTGTACTATTTGCTTATTTATTAATTCTGTCGTATATTCAACAAATATTTATTGAATTTTGGCTTGGATTTTGGAACCAGGCATCCTATGTGAATCCCAGCTCTAGTTTCCCTATCTCTGCTTCAGTTACCTCACCTGAATTTGAGATTAATATTAGTACTTACCTCATAGGTTTGTTATGAAAATTAAAGGATTGAAATATATAAACACATATAGACTTAAAACAGAGCCTGGTACATAATGAGTGCTGTATCTTTATGCCATCATTATCATTTTTTGTTGTTGTTACTTCCTTTGCCCCATTTACAGTGAGCCCGAGATTGCCTTTCCCCATCAGAGCCACTACTAGCTCCTTTTCCTCTCTGGGGTTCCAGCCTAAGAATACAACTTTCTATTAAGGCACTCAGAAATGTCCCCTAAGCAAATGAGAGGAGTGGCGCATTTGCATTGCGACAGGGAATGTCTGTAGTAATAATCGTCTAAGCATTTCTAGAGTCCTTACTATGTGTCAGGCACTATGTGAATAACCACTTTAGAAACTTAAAACAAGAAAGCTAATGGCGGGCACTTCTGTGGAGATATTTTATCATGAGGAACCCACCATGTCCTCAAATTATCACCCCGGTTTCAGCCAGCTTCTATAATTGAGCGGCCTGTTGCCCATGTCTTCTCTTATATAGTCACACTCTACCTCTTTGACCTTTCTGTTACCACGGTTGACTTTCCCCACACACACACACAATTGTAGTAGAGGCTAATTTGAATCTCAAAGTAATTATTTCTAGAGACCAAAGATCCTAACAGCAAAGACATTATAAACACTGAAGACATACCACGCTGCCATGCCTACTCTTTGTTAAAAGAGCAGTAAATTCTCTCTGGTGAACAATTTGCCAGACAAATCTCAGATGCACATAACACTTGAAGTGGAGTTCCCACCTCTCAGTAGAGCTGGTTTTGTTGCTGCTGCTGTTGTTTAGGTGAATGGTGAGTGACGCCATGGAGGACAGTCGCCAGGCTGAAAGTGTACAGCCTGTGAAAATCTTTGTAAGGGCAAAGGAAAACAGCATGACTTTTAAACCTAGGATGCTTTATCGCAACCAGCTGAGCATAAAATATCTCTTGTGTTCTCTTTTGAAATGTTCAGGTCCTTCAGGAGAGTGGATTGAAGAACTAACTGAGAAGCCCCAGCATGTGAGTGTCCATGTCTTAAGCTCAACCACTGCCTTGATGTCCTGGACATCTTCCCAAGAGAACTACAATGGCACCATTGTGTCTGTGGTGTCACTCACCTGCCAGAAACAAAAGGAGAGCCAGAGGCTAGAAAAACAGTACTGCACTCAGGTAAAGGAAAGGCACCGTGGCCGGCCTCACTCACTGCCTGCAGCCCCACCTCGTGGGCAACGTGAGGAGGCCACTGCAAGGAGCTGCCCTCGGGTCCCCCAGGTGCACTGTAAGCAGTGTTACCCAGAGTCCCAGAGGGGCCGGGAAATGAGCATAAATGGCTCTTTGGTTATTCATCTTCCTTTTTCCTCTTCGCATGGTCATCTTCCTTTCACTTTTCCTCATTCAAGATCATTTACTGAGCACCTACGGTGTGCCAGGTACTAAGGTAGGCATTGGGGAATCTAGATAATTTTTATATGCAGAGTTTACAATTTAGTGAGAACAATGGGAAAATGAAACATATAATTACTGTAGAGTATAACATAAGGCCTAAGCTAAAAGTGGGCCATATGAGTTCACAGGAAGAAGGAGCCAGGCATGAGAAAATGTGGATTGGGGCAAGAGCATTGAGAAACAGGTGAGAAAAGCTTCCCACAGGGGAGGAGACAACCAAGCAGGGGGTTGCGGGCAGTTTTTGTTTGTTTGTTGTACTTTTTTAAAAATTATTTTTCTTGTTATTTTAACTATAAAAGGAACGCATGCTCATTGAAAAAATAACTCAAAAATTAAAAGTACATAAAGTACAAAACTCACTAATCACAACTGAGAAGAGTTTTGAAGGATGAATAGGAGTTAGCTGCGTACAAAAGAGTGTGAGAGGCAAGTGGAAACAGTGTGCAAATCAGTAGTTCTGGGAGTGGCTACCAAGATGTGTGCAAAAGCCCAGTCATCGGCCCTGAACAAAACCAAGCAGTGTGGGCCCGAGAGCAGACCTTGTTCTCTGATGCCCTGAATACCCACCGGAAGCCTGGAACCCAGTCCTATTTCCTGAAAACCTGGTTGTATTATTTCATTAGATCAAATTTACTGATTCTTGGTGACTTATAACACAATATTTACTTCCCTAATGGCAAAATGTTATCAATTCATGTGAAGTACACTGGAAATATAATACTCAAAGATGTTTACTATCTGAAAGCTATTTGGGATGTTTCCTTTATCCCACAAAATGTCAGGCATTTAGTGAAATTCAAAGAGTGAGAAATTTAAAATTGAAAAGATGAATTCAGGAATCGTGGTCTTTGGAGCACTGCAAAGGGCTGAGATAAGCCCTTACTTGAAGATGAGGCCACCCCTTGACTTGAATTAAATTACAGAGTAAACATGCTGAACCAATTAACAAGTAATCATGGCTCACTGTGTAGCTTATTAGCTTCCCTCCCTGAGCATACCAAAGACTACTGGCTTTCTCCAATGACAGAAAAATGTGTTTCTCTTGCAGAGGGTGACCTTGAACTTGACTGTTCCAAGGTACATTTCTTCCTTGCCCCATCTAAGTACAAATTACATATCTTTTGCATAGAAGCACAAGGCTAAAGGTATAGATACATGGTATAAATTATAAATGAGCCAGAAAAGCTGGTCTAAGTGTACTTTGACAATACCTTCATGAAGTGCAAGCATGAAACTGTTTAGGATTATAGGCAAGGAAACCAATATTTAAAAAGGAGGATAGGAACTAAATCACTGTGCTAGGTGTTATCTTAATTACCACAAGAACATTTTGAGGACTGTGTTATTATTATACCTCCATCATTCCTTGCTTCACTACACACACACACACACACACGTGCATTCACACATTTTCAGATGAGGAAACGTCAGTTTTAAAAGTCTCAAAAATTGGAAGGAGATCCAAGATGGTAGAGTAGATAAACTTGTCCTAGTCTCATCCTGTGAACACATCACAATTACAACTAAATTGTAGAACAATCAACCTGGAGAACCATCTGTAGTGTAACTGAACAGAAGTTCTATAACTAAGGATATAAAGAAGAAGCCCCCTTGAGACAGGTAGGAGGGGCAGAGATGATAAACGAACTGGTCCCACACCCACCTCTGGCAGTTGAAAATCAGGAGAGATACCTCCACCACAGAGGTTCCCCACAAAGGAGTGAGGGACACCAGACCCCACACCAGGCTCCCTAGTCCAGAGTACTGGACCAGGAAGAGGCACCCCCACAACTTCTGGCTGTGAAAAACATTGGGGATTCTGACCATCTGGGTGGGATGGAAAGAAGGCTGCAGGAAACCCAGACATCCTCTTAAAGAACCCACACAGGCACTCACCCTGGGCTCCAGTGGAGGAATGGTGACTCTGGGGGCATCAGAGACATAGGGGAGAGACTGAGTTGTGTAACTTCGAGGCAAGGACTGAGGGACAGTCCCCATTTTCCCTGTGTGGGGCCTTTCTTCCGTGCAGCCGGCAGGTGGGTGCTATCTTTCCTGTGTTGAGCCCGCCCCCACATGGCCAAATGTGAATCTGATTGGCTTGGTGGGCTCTGCTGCTCCACTCTGTTGACTCACTAAGACCCTACCTCACCCGACTTGCTTACCGCAGAGGCTTTATCAGTGACAGAACCTTAGAGGAGCCAGCAGGTGGCAACAGCACTTGGAGTGTGTTGGCTTTTTCTGGAGCTACCCCAGACCTGGCGGTGGGTGTTAGACTAGTCAGGGGATCACTTTTTAAACCATATACATATGCTGTGCACCTGAAATTAATATAAAATAATATTGAATGTCAACTGTAATTGAAAAATTAAAAAGGGGTGGGGGGAATGTGAAGGGGAATAAGAGGTTCAATTTTCCAGGTACAAAACAAATAAGTCATAGGACTGTATCATACAGCATAGGGAATATAGTCAATAAAATTGTGATAGCATAGTACAGTGTCAGATAGTTGCTGAATTTTTCATGGTGATCACTTCTTTAGGTATATAAATGTTGAATAACTATGGTGTATACCTGAAGCTAATATACTATTGTGTGTTAATTTTATTTTAAATAAAAATCTTTAAAAATACAACATCTATATGGTTCAGTATCACAATGGTTATATATACGAGTACATGTATTGAGGAAAGTCTGGACGACTGCTCACCGAAATGTTGGAAATGATGGGAGGAGTACAGTAAGACTTCCAGTTTGCTTCATTTACTCTTCTACTATGTGAATAATTTTTACAATGAGCAAGTCTTAGTTTTATCACTTAAAAATGTATTTTAAGGAAATAAAACAGTACTGCTTAGTTGTGCATAACATATATGCACTTGTGCATAGTTTTTTTCTTTTTTAAGGAAATGCTTTATCAGGTGAGTATATCTAATTGACTAGCTTTGTCTAGATGGCTTGTAGAAGAATTAAATTCTAAAGCATGGACAAGAAACCCTGACATAAAAGAGTGTAAATAGGAAAGGAAAGGTAGAAATTCTAGTTTATTAATTCAGTTTAATCTTATTTCAGTCAAATAAATGGAAAAGAAATTTTGATATGCTGTTCCCCCTACTTATGTGTAGATCAAGTTGTATCAATTCAAATTATACAATTTCTACTGTGTAGAATCAGTTTCCAGTATTGGAAAAGTTTTAATTCATATCATATCACCAATACTATGTTTATTCTTTAAATTTAGATGAGACTAAAAAAATACATTATAGCATAGGTAAGCTGTCAACAGTATTGTTCTCCATTGATTCATGCTCCTTCCTGCAGCAATTTTACAATGTTATGGACCCTAGAAGCCAAAAAGTTGATGAGTAATAAGAGTTAACTTTGGGCCGGTCGAGTGGCACGTTGGTTAAGAGTTGGCTTGGGACGCCAGCTCTGAATAACAGGGCCCTGGTTCAGATTTCACATGAGGGCCAGTGATGCTGTGCCCTCTACAGCTAAGATGGTGAACAACAGCTCTACCTGGAGCTGGGCTGCCCTGAGTCGCTGGCGACGGCGTAGGCTGCAGTGGGGTTGCAGTGGGCTGCCGTGAGCTACTGTGAGTGGCTTTCAGCTGGCATGAGCCGCTGTGAGCGGCTGTCCAATAGCCGGCAAGCAACTGCCTCACCTGGGAAAAGCGCAATGATAATACCAACATGGGTCAGTGAAGCGACGTCCTCCACAACTAGACTGAAGAACAAAAGGACAGCAACTTGTCTGTTCCCCTCCCTCAATTCCCCAATAAAATCTTAAAAAAAAAAAAAAGTTAACTTCACTGGTATTCCAGCTTAAGCACCCTTACAACTTGATGAGGCACATAATAGTTTTGTCTATGGTTTATTAATGATGAAACCAAGGTAAGAATTATTTTTTAAATTATGTTATTAATAAATCTCCATGCCTATAAGGGATAGAGTCAAGATTTGATCTGACAGTCTGAATAGAGAACCTGTGTTTCTTCCACTAAGCCCGATTGTCTTAATATTAGAAGCACTAAAGGTTAAAGCAGCGTACTTCTTAACATGTTCGTTGAATCATCAATCCTTGTGTACACCAGCATTCTATTATATTTTAATGGATATATTTTATTCATCTATTTGCTTTCACTATTTTTCTCTTTATGGCATTTGTTACATAACCAAAAGTTTAATAAAGGAAGGTAAAGAAGAGCTCATCTAAGTGAGAAATATTCTCTACAGTATTCTTTCATGGGTCATAATAGCCTTGCAAAGGGCCTACTGCTGTATCTCGATGCTCAGCCCCGTGACTGGCTTGTAATGTAGATTAGAGGTCACAACGCCAGGCTTCTAGTCCCAACACTGAATCTAAATATGTGACCTTGACCAATCCCTGGCTTTACTTTCCTCATCTATTAAATGAGAGATTTGGACTAGATGATCTCTGAAGTCATTTCCATCCCTATAATTAGATATTATATGCTTCTAAGTGACGAGGGACTAAAGGCTTTCCTGCACTGATCTTTATATGTAGTCAGCTGACACTACAATTTAGGATGTCAGACTATCCTTATGGTATTGCTGATTTGATTATGGTTAGAAGCCGATGTGTCTCTAGTGTACATAGTTACAATTGACATTGATGGGTATAAAGTAGTTCACGGGGTCTTATTAAATCCAGCCATAGAAATTAAATCCAGTCATAGAATTTGAATGTTCTGTGAGCATGCAGTTTTCCCAGAAACTACAAATCATCCTAATTTTGAAATCTGACTTTCCCCAGCATGAGTAAAGGCTTTTGGATTTCAAAGTCATCTGTGGTTCCACAAAGAGTCTCTGAATTCAATTTTAGCCTGTGTCTCATTTTGAAAGTCCAGCTCTGAATGAATCTTACTGGGTGTTTGGTTTAAAGGTGAACTCGAGCAAATCTATTATTGAAAATCTGGTTCCTGGTGCCCAATACCAGGTTGTGATGTACCTAAGAAAAGGCCCTTTGATTGGACCACCTTCAGATCCTGTGACATTTGGAATTGGTAAGTTGCCAGCCACAAGAATAATAACTTTATTAAAGAATTGTTTGGGTAACAGGGATCAAATATATACTGATGGAAGGAGAACTGACTCTGGGTGGTGAACACACAGCATGATATATAGATGATGTATTACAGAATTATACACTTGAAACTTATGTAACCTTACTAATAATTGTAACCCAATAAACTTTAATTAAAGAAAAAAGAATTGTTTGGAGGGGTGCAATGTCCAAGCTCAAGTCATTATCGTCATATATGGGTGACCCATACTTATTCACCCAATAACCCACCTTCAGAGTAATAAACTACTATAATTGTATAACTGGAGGACATCCTTAACATTTATTATTTGGGGGCAAAAATCAGAGGCAAATATGTTGTTTTCAATGATCAGATCAGAAGAGTGAAAACCCTAGTTAAGTAAAAGTTTGAAACCATTGCTAAGATATTAAACATTCTTTATTGGCTTTCTTTTTTCCCTCCTCCTTCCCTTCTTCTTAGTTCCAACTGGCATAAAGGATTTAATGCTCTACCCCTTGGGTCCTACAGCAGTGGTTTTGAGCTGGACCAGACCTTACTTAGGAGTGTTCAGAAAATATGTGGTTGAAATGTTTTATTTCAACCCTACAACAATGACATCAGAGTGGACAACCTACTATGAAATAGCAGCGACTGTCTCCTTAACCGCATCAGTGGTAACCTTTCCTTAACCAGCTGTCACACTTTTCTGTGTAAACAGATATGCCCGTACTGTATGTACCAAATGTCAGTAAAAGTTATCTATAAATTAGATCGTTTTGAAAATACACACAGGTAGCTTGCTACTTTCAAGGTTTTTTTTTTTTTCTTTTTTCTTTTTGGTTGTTTTTACTTTTTGGATTATTTTTAGTTTTGTTTTTTGAGAGAGAAAGAAGAAAAATTGTGCGAAACTCGCTTTGCCCCTAATTGAATTTATTTGTTAAGTTACATTTTAGTAGCCCTATCAAGCGCTTATTGTTTCCTTCTGCTCCTGAGGAGAACATGAGAAATTACCTTTCAGCATTCAATAATTAGCTGACACTGCTTAACTGTAATGATGACTGTTCTTGACATCTACAAATCAGTTAAATACCTATAATGTCAGGCCATTAGAGGATGCGTTTCAAGAGAGCGCATAAAGACTGCTCTTTCTAAAACTTGAATAATTTGTAAAGTGCGGTTGCGTACAGGTCACACTTGAAGTACACAATTGCCCTCTACCCAGTTGATGACTGGTAATTGCCACCCATCAAGGACACATGCTTACGGTCCAAGCTGGGAGAGTGCAGAGTTGTGAAAGGTCATTTGCGTTAGAAATAGAGAGATGTGTACATACAGTCACTTGCAAATCAGTACTGTTTTACTTTGCAATATAACTTAGGAAACTGAAAAGTGAAACCAATATTGAAGAAGTATTTGACTCTATACCTTTGACTCACTTTTTAAAAATTATATTGTATTTTTGTATAACATTTTATTTCCACCTCATCTCATTCCAAATGGAGATTTGGTTTTTTTGTTTTTTGTTTTGTTGTTGTTTTTATGGAAAATTTGGGGAATACAAAAAGGCACAGAAGGAAAATAAAAATTACTTATCAGTTTGTTTCACGGCTTAATAGAAGTAGCTCTATTCCAAAACTATGATTTTCCCCCTTAGTCTTTTGTCTCCTTGCTTTTATAGAGAATAGCTAATCTGTTGCCAGCATGGTACTACAACTTTCGAGTGACCATGGTGACATGGGGAGACCCAGAACTGAGCTGTTGTGACAGTTCCACCATAAGCTTCATAACAGGTGAGTGGTGTGTGGGAGATCGTTTCCTGAGGAGAGAACATAATTTCAAGAAGGTTCTGAAGGGACCCCCCCCCCCCCCCAGAAAATGCTAGTCCTTCCCTCAGGACTGAAGAAGCATCAATTTCATGGAAGATAACATACTTGATTCTGAAAATTTATCATTTGTTTAAATGATAGCCTTTAAAAATTAAAATAGTATTTTTATTCTGAGTCACCATCCTTGATTTATGTGCTTGTCTGGAATCGATTAGAATAGAGATGTAGCAGGCAGAGCTTTCAGCTTAATGCTGCACTCAGCTGACTTTCCCCATTTGATGATTATAGTTCCTAGAGTGCCTCCATTTCCTTATTAAATGAAGCCATTTTTAAAGTCACAGGCTGACTGCCATATTGTCCACTGCAGGAGTTAAAACAGGCTTTGTAGCAGGTGGACCTGGGTTTCAATCATGGCTCTGCTGCATACCACATGTAACCTTGAGCAAGTGAACTTTTGAAGCCTCGGTTTTTTTCATGTAGAAAATGGGGATGATAATACTACTGTTATCTGTTAATATCTGTTGCTATTTCTCAATTAAATAAGCTATTTAGCAAAATATATGGCGCAAGGTTTATGTAACTAAAAAAATTATTTGTTAGTTTTCAGAGCCTTTAATTATGTAGTTCATCATCATACAGCAGAGATGATCAGAGGTAGCAATGAAAAGGGGAAACTCATCAGAGACATTAATCCTGGTTGTTTGACCTAAGATTTTTCAAGAATTTTTCTTGGACTACAAGACTGTAATTAGAGTTGTACTGAGAAAAGAAAAGAGAAAAATAATTTTAGATGAAGAATAATGTTGGCAAAATGTTTTTCTCACTGGATGTCTAGCTTTGCCGTGCTGAAATTAATAATTTAAAACACAATGGAAAGAAATGAATATGTGAATTCTTACACAATCAACTTACACAGTTCATCACGTTTCCTTACTAACCAATGTCTAGAGCTCCCTTTGTTCAAAAAAGGAGAAAATACCAATTAGAAACAATCCTTGTGTTATGCTTTTGACTGTATTGATAACTGTATATTTAATTATAATTAAACTGCACTTATCACTAATTCATACAGTTTAACTTTATTGTGATTAACTCTGAGAATATTCTGTCCTTCTCAGACAGAGCAGTGTCTTGAAAAAGCCCAGACTTCTCATCTGAACACTTGATTAAGCAGACCTAGCTCTACTAATTTCTGGCTTTGAGCAAATTATCTTAATGATTCTGGACTTCTTTTTTCTCAGTGGTAAAATTCAAAATTTTACCTACCAACTGGCTAATAGAGCAAAATTAAGTGCATTAGAACTCAGTGCAGTAAGGCAGAACACCGCCCTGACAGTCATTGAAGGGTCTCAGAAGGGGAACATTGGAAATGAAATAGTAACAGGATTTGGAGTTCTGGACTCCAGTGGTTTAGGCATGCCTTTCAAATCTGGGAGCTGATTGGGACTAGGCAAAGATCGTGATATGACAGTTTAGGTGATCAAAGCAAGCCCAGATATGTAAACTGGGGTTAATAAGCAAGCTATGTGCCTGAGTGAGCAGTCTATTATCTCCAATAAGTTGATCTTTGGCTATTTCTTACCTTTTCCTGGAACAAACTACTAAGTCATGCTGACACTGGCAGTCTATAGTCATAGCTAGGCATATTGATACAGATGGTCTCAATTCTCATATTTAAAAAATGGACATAATAACTCCCCACAGGGCAGTGTGAGAATTAAATTATATAATGTAAATTACTATTAAAACATAATGGTAGCTGAGCTTTATCTTTACACTTTTTAAAACTAGTAAAAATTTTAACTTTCATTTTTTTTTTACCTTTCTTCCCTCATTTCAATTTTAAAGCAAATAAGGATCTCATACTTCACTTTCCTATGCTTTTAATTGTGACCCAAACTGCCAACTTGTGTGGCATAAAAGAAAACAGGAACGAAATATCTGAGTAAGGCGTGAATTATTAGGACCTCAAGCCTACTATTTTTGTTACGTAACTTACTTTGTCTGAAAGTCAAGTTTATAATTATACTGGTGTACCAAATAGTGTTTAATAAACAAGTAGTGACATCTTGTGGTCCTTCAGAAATATGCTGGATTTAAAAGTAACAACATGGAGTATAAAAATCTGAAGACCTCGTACCTGTGAGGTCTGGGTTTCTAATTTTAAGTATGTTTCTTGTCCTCACTAGAATTAGAACATAAGAAAATAGCCTTTGAAGAAACATAAGTATAGGTACTTGTATATATAATGAAGTGTGTAGTGATATATTAAGAAGCTATAAAGAAGCCAGGTTTAGTATCCTTTATTAGAATATTCTGAACTATGATGTGGGTTTGTGTTATTGTTGCTATTTCAAGATGAGTTATGTTATGGATATTTGAGTATTAGCAGCATATTAAAGAAAATAATTCTTTATGATTTGTAGAAATTCTCCTCCAAATATTTTACTTGGTTTTATGCTATATCATAGAATGGAACACTTGCCTGTCTTCAAACCACTGTACCCATGGAATTTAAATTCAACAGTGTATTTATTTCTTGAAATCTTCAGAATTATCAGTTATTTAAAAAATAATCAAAATATGCTTTTACAGCTTATATATTATAAGTCTTGTGACGAGCTCTCCTCCCCAGTTGGGAAACTTTTTAAAGTTTAAATGTGTGAGAAGTTTAATTTATAAAATAAATTAATATCTTCAGTGTTAGAGAGAATTTAGCTTCATAGCATCATAAAAAGCCTTTTTCTCCCTCCCTTAATACTTGTGTCAATAGCATTAGTCAGAGCCTACCTTCTGCGAAGCACTAGACTGGACACTGCCAGTGATACTACCTTGTTATTGTATGGAAATAATATTCATTTTCTATCCCTCTATTCATCGATCCTACTGACCTTTATTCCCATAAACATCTTTGCTGCACTACAATGAAAAAGATTTACTTTTATATGACCCAGAGTTTCCAATGCTTCTTTAAAAATAAGTTCCCCAATACGTAATAATACTAATTTATTGGTGCAACAAGCCACCCAAACAAGTGAACATTTTAGGAATATTGTAACTGTAAAATTTGTATAAAGACCTTGATATCTTCAGGTCAGATGGGACTGTCTTGTGTCTGAGCCGTATAGGTGGGATCCCATGAAGCAAGTGGCCGCCGTGTACCAACAACTTTCACTGTGGGACTGGAGGCCCAGGAGTTCCAGGACCACCACGTGGTGTGAATTTTAATTCTTTAAATTAACTCTACATGGGATTTTATGCTCTATTGATAACTGCTTTAATTATTAGTAGTTTCTTACAGTAAAGTGCTCCCTTTTCCTCCTTTATAGCCCCGGTTGCTCCAGAAATCACTTCTGTGGAATATTTCAACAGTCTGTTATACATCAGTTGGACGTATGGAGATAACACGACTGACCTCTCCCATTCCAGAATGCTGCACTGGATGGTTTTTGCAGAAGGAAAGAAGAAAATTAAAAAGAGCGTATGTTTCTTTGAATCCCAGTTTTGAGCATGTGAACATGTAGTTGCATAAACTATGGAAAACCATTAAGCAAACATTTATTGAGACATTAAACAAATGTTTATGTACCAGTTGGCACTGTTTTAGGCTCTGGAGATAGGGTAGTGAACCAAAATGAAATTCCTTCCTTCACAGAGCTTACCTATTCATCTTTACTAGTGAGCTGTAATAGTTGCAACTACTGACTTCACTTGTATTCAAAGTTATAATTTAATTTTTTTCAGAATATTTTCAAGAAAATCACAGTTATTAAATTTCAATAGCTTCTCTGTATATCTCAACATCAAGATGTTTGAGTACATTGGGAATGCTGATTACTTTTCTCCTGGTTTATTAAGCTTTTCGACACTGTATTAGAATATAGAATACAGACTAAATGACTATGATAATAATTTTTTTAAAAAGATCATGGTTCACAGAAATCAAAGTTTATGTCTCTCTTATGCTAGCCCAGGAATAACAGGGCACCTCTGCTGTAAGGGATAATCTAGGGGTCCAGACTCTTTCTCTCTTGCTGCTCCAGCTGTCACTACATGTAATCCTCGTCTGTACAGGTGAACCTTCATTATCATTACATTAATATTCTAGCCTGCAGGAAGGGGAAAGCGAGGATATGGAAGCCCAGCACTTACAGGGTGTGAACAGAACTATAAGTTGCCCATGTGACTTCCTACTTCCAATCCACTCGTCAGAATTGGGTCATGTGGTCCCCTCTAGCTATAGGGGATGCTGGGAAATACAGCCGTTCGTTAAGAAGCCAGGTATCTGTAGATATGGCTAGGATGCTTCTGAGTGTCTTAGCTAAGGCTGAGAAATATACCTATCAGTAGCAGCCAGCAATTGCCTTTTCTAAAATTTGCTGTGAACATGAGGGACAATACTAGAGTAATGCCTATTCCAAACAAGGGAATTCACTGCAAAAATGTTCTGATATGCATTATGCACATTTAGCTCAGTTGAGCAATTTATATTCTTTTCAGAGGAAATAACATATTCATATGGTTGTAATCAATTGTAGACTGCAGCACAGAGCAGAGGGTATGTCTGCAATAGCCCTATAGTTGTTTGGAATGGTATTCTGGTTGAAGTTCACTAGAAGGTGAAACCCTCGATTTTGATGATCTTGCAGGTAACACGCAATGTCATGACTGCAATTCTCAGCCTGCCTCCAGGAGATATCTACAATCTCTCAGTAACTGCTTGCACTGAAAGAGGGAGCAATACCTCCATGCTCCGCCTTGTCAAGCTAGGTAAGGAGAGTGCAAGGGTGCGTGTGTGGAAACAGTCATGCTGGGAGAACCAGTGTTTGCCTCTCTTGGTTTAGCGTGGTCTTCTCAACTCAATGAAAGAACAGAAAAATGGCTCTCTCTTTTTTACACATGCAAAATAGTTGTTTATACTACCAAAAGAGTACATTCAACTTAGTATAAGTTTCTGTGAGTACAATGTTTACCGTTTTGGGAGATAGGAGTGTTCACCATTCATAGTAAGTTTAGAGAAACCAAGAAGTCTCAGGATTGGAGAGATGGAAGGACCTTTCTACTGCAGTATACTCAATCCTATTAGGTGCCATTCCCTTTTCATATAACTGTTATATGATGTTCCCTTTAATATCTTCAATTAAAATCCATAGGTAAAATAACCCACATATTGATTTTTTTAAAAATTTGGTATAATGTCCTAACCATAATATACAATCGAGATAAAAGAAAAACAATTTATAATAAAATTCCCTATGTGTATGTTCAGATACAACTCTTCTAAAAGTCATAATGAAATTGCCTAAGGACTACACATTATTAAAACAAATAAGTTTGAGTTTACAAGAAGTCAAGGGATCAGTAGTTCTTCCATACAAGAAGAATAAAAATAAATGAAGGAACAAATTCATACTGATTAATTATAAATAACTGAGCAAGCACAACTACAGATGGACTGTAGAATAAAACCTAGAATTAGGGTAATAGACTACACATATTTGCATCTGATGACAGCAAGAGGGAAATGACCTTGATTAAAATGGAGATAATATGCCAAGAGGAATACTAGGCTGTGGATGAGGGAAACTAAGGAAAGGATGAGATCCTTGAAAATAATCTGAAATTTATTATATAGTGTACTGTCAAAATAATTATATTATGAAATACGACTAGGAAGTGACACTATGTAACACAAAACACATCTTCTGCATTCAATAACCTACCATGTATATTGAGGCATACATTTAGTTTCTGATGGTTCAAAGGGCCTCAAAGGTAATATTCTATCATCAGCAGCAGGCAAAAGAAGACAGACTGGCAAAAATTTGTGTGGCAGACCCCTTGAGGCAGTGTCAGTGTAAGAGTGGCAACACAAAAATAAATGCTTTTCAGTTCAGTATGTGATTTTCACAACAGAGACCTCATTTTTATATTTTAAAAATTAAAGCTACATGGAATGGCAATAAAAATACTTTCAAAACACTTAATGCATCTCACGTCACTATTCCAGATATCTGTTAATTTATACTGTGTCTGACTCAGCTCATAAAAGTCATCGTCCCCTTTATTCCATTTGTTCATACGTGCAGCTGTAAGTAAAGACGGATCCAGGGGGTTTTATTAGCAGCTTAAATACCATGAGTAGAGTTGTTGGCAGTGACATGCTTTTAGAAAACTCTTATAAAATCCCAAACAAAACAAAACATAGTCTTTCCTTAGTTTACCCAATAGTTGCATTTCTCTATAATTCAATGCATAAGACACTGTCTTAAATTTTTTAATTTCATATTTGCCACGCAAAAACTAAATTCTTGCTCTGAAACCCATTAAAATTAAATAGGTAGTTGGAAATACATGACATATTAAATGGACACTATGGGCAGAAAAAGTAAATGATTGCATAATTTTCAAATAACATCTTAATTCCATTTAAGTAGGCTTCTTAATGACAGCTTTCTTCTAAATTATTTTACTTAACTTCTTGAGAAATTTCCAATGGTAAAGGACTTGTAATTATATTTATATTGGACTTATTCTGGTGTGACATTAGAAAGTCATGTGGCATGTAGGACGTGGGACAGTTTTTCTCCTTGAAGCTTTCTTGATCATTGCAGGACATCTAGCATTTCTGTGCCCTGCTCACAGAAGGCCTGTTAAAAACTTCTGTTGTGACTATTAAAACATTTCAGCAAATTTGAAAACACCCTCAAGAGGGCGGTACTGCTCCTACTGAGAGCCTCTGGGACAGTTACGCATGCAAAACTCTGCTCTTCTTCCCTAGCACTCTTTACTTGACTCCTAGGAATGTGGAGGTCACCAGCTTTCAACATCGCATGATCTTTCTATTAAGGAAAAGCAAAACAAACAAACAAACAAAAAGAAAGAAAACACCTGCCTATGAATTCCAATCATTATCTGTAATTTTGACCTCTGTATAAATGTCAGTTCGAAACTCATTTCCAGGTAACTAGAATGCATTAAAGATTATGCTGGTGTTCTCGGTGCCTTTCTTTTCCTAAGCTTTATTATTCCTGGTAGCTGTGTTTCGCAGGTCCTTGCTGCTCTATTCAACTCATTGGGTTTGTTAGTCTCCCTTAAAGTGCAAGTTCAGAGGTGATCTTACCCAAGTGGGCCTTTTGCATGCTTATCTATCATTTTTATGTGACATTATGGATGGGCTATAAAGCAAGTATGGGTTAAAAGTCATGAACTGGTACAATTATACTCACACAACATAGGAGCGTGAGTAAAAACCATGATAATTTCCCAAACTTATCATGAGGTTTTGAGATCTCCGTTAACAGGCAGGACTTCTTAAACCTATTTAGAAGGTTCCTTTAAACTTTTCAAGAAGCAAATGCAAGTTCCCATAGAAATTATTTTTAGTGAATAATAACCCTTAGAATGAATAAGCTTTTCCTTGTTGGTATCTTATTATCAGACAGAATATTGCCTCTATCTTATTCATCACTGAAAACAAGACCATGAGTATGTAATGTGTCTGTCCTCAGCCTTTTTCCTTCTGAAAACTAAATAACTTCACTTTTTATTCATTGTCTAAAGGTCTATTTTCTATTCTGCTAATCATATTATTGTGTTTTATAAGCTCTTTCATTTTGCTGTAACACAATGCTTTGCCTACTATAGGTGCTCAAAAGATACTGAATGAATTGAATTGAAATTACAGACCTCACAGTTGAAAATAATACTCCAATTAATATTTAACCAAACTAAGTTTGACCTTTCAGAGAAATGAAAACATTTTGCTTTATTTATTTATTTTTTTAAAAAGATTTTTATTGGGGAATTGGGGGATGGGAACAGCGCTGGGGAATTGGGGGAAGGGGAACAGACAAGTTGCTGTCCTTTTGTTCTTCAGTCTAGTTGTGGAGGATGTTGCTTCACTGGCCCAAGTTGGCACCATCATTGTGCTCTTCCCAGGCGAGGCACATCAGTCGCTGGCTTCTGGACGGCCGCTCATGGTGGCTGCTGGCTGCTCATGCTGGCTGCTGGCTACACACGGTAGCCCATGGCAACCCACTGCAGTAGGGGCTGCAGCCTACCCGACGCCGGCGACTCATGGCAGCCCAGCTCCAGGTTGAGCTGTTGTTCAGCATCTTGGCTGTAGAGGGCAGTGTCACTGGCCCTCATATGTGTGATCCGAACCGGGGCCCTCCAGCGTCCCAAGCCAACTCAATCAACGTGCCACTCGGCCGGCCCCAAAAACATTTTTCTTTAGTAATAACTGAATTGCAATTATTTTTTTTCTTTTATAAAACTTTCATTCTAGTCACTTTATGTTTCTTTACAGCATTCATTTGGCACACACAGAAGTCAAATTAATTCTACTGTACAGAAAACTATAACTCCAGCACACAGATTTTCAGGGCTTGTTTGAATCAGAATGCTGTTGTTGAATCTAGGACCAAAACTAGTTGTGCTAATTCCGAGTCAATTTCTCTGTGACAGAGGCCTCTTTGGAATGGCTTTACTTGCCATCAGGGAGGGCAAGATCTACATCTATGGAAAGAAGTCAGACTATCAGTGAATCCAGTATAATTACAAATTAATCTAAGATGGCATGTCCAAGGGTAGAGAGCCCTCAAAACAGTTGCCAAGAATTTGCAATTATTAGGTCATCATTAAATATCCACAAGATGACATGTACCAATAGTATTGCTGTTTGCAGGGCTTTGAGCCAGTCATCCCATTATGAATTTTAGGTTGCCAGAAGTTTCATAGTACTATAATGGTATGTGATGTCAGCTCCCTTTGGCAGTCAATTTTATGAGAATTTATTGGTCTGCATGCAACTGTGGCTCCAACTAGCAAACAGACATAAGTTCTCATCTTTATAAGTCTTCCTGAAACTCTAGTCAAACTTAGGAGAATTTGATATGTTTATATCAGGGAATCAGTTTTCCAATTAAAAATAATAAAGGAAAAGAAATAGGAATGAAAAAGTGTTAGGAATATCATAAAATAGCTCTAGGGTAACACAATATCTATTTACTCATTTAAAAATACAGAGGGTGCCAAAAAATGTATACACACTTCAAGAAAGGAAAGAACTATATTAAAAGTACGCTGATGGTAACCACTCTTGTAATTGCAGAACGTAACTTGTATTCATCTTTTGTTATCAGTATATATTGAGTGTTACAATTTTAATACAGTTTTTTTCCCTTCTTAAAATGTGTATACATTTTTTTGGCACCTTCTGTATATACTGAGAACCCTCTCTGCACGGCTCAGATGCCAGACTCCTTGTAGAAATGAATCCAAAGGGCCACTTTCACTTGCTGTTCACAAGGAGCTTATGATCTAGTGAGGGAGGAGATGGTAATAAGTGTTGTAGAGCATGAAAACAGGATAGTGTGGTGCAGAGTACTATGTAGCAGAAGCTTTTTCTGAGGAGGCAATAAGGAGATATTTGAATAACAAGAAAATCAGCCATGAAAAGGTTGGGACAGAGCAGGCTAGGCAGAAGGCAGGTTATATAGGATTTGGATGGCAAGGAGTTGAGATTTTGTTTTGAGTACAATTTGAAGTGATTTAGAGAATTTCAAATAAATAATCCAACTTACATGTCAAATCATTTCTCTGGTTGCTCAAGAGAGAAAGAATTATTGGGTCAACAACAAAGGTAGAGTGACTAATTAAGGGGCTATTTGTCATTGGCCTTAAAAACAGCATCCTAAATCAAGCAAGTGCTATGGGAAACGATGGTAACTTTGACTAAAGTGGTAGTAATGAGGATGGAGAAAAGT